CGTTTTTGCACCAAAACTGATAACGTTGTTTTTCGATTTGCGACGTCGGAATGTCGTCGATATCTAAACCCGACCATTGTACGAAAAGGCCTAACCTAGTACTACTATCTGCTTACTACTATCTCAAGAATATCTGATGACATTTCAATTGATGACGTCACAAGTGGTACAAAGAGCACGACCATTAATTACGCATATATGCGTACTTGGTATTCAAAGGGTTAATGGACCTCGAGATGGGGCCTCCCAATTTAAAACTTTGTAGAATACCCCTTTCCCCCCTCCTCCCCACCCCCAGTTGTGTAAAATCACAATTTTATCTTGGAAATGACCTCAGAGACAACACAACATCATTCTTATGGCTATCTTTTATCTTAAAATGTGTTTTCAAGAAACTACTTATTAGGAAAACAAAAATGTTCAAGGAAAAAATGAACAGGAAGAAACATCAACATACAAACTATTCAGTCCCATAAAAAAATTTCCAAATTATATTCTTACCAGGAAAACAACGTACCAAAATTACTTAATTAATAAAATTGATGTAGTGAAATTTTCTATTTAATTTTTGTAAACCTGATCTTACAGAATGCAACCTTTGGTTTAACTGGTTCAATTTACTGTTAAGGAATAATTAAATAAATCACACCAGAGTGGCTTTGTATCTCTATTGTAATTCCCATTATCAGTAGAAAAATCACACGTGTACAGGTCCACTGATACTCTTACATGTATATTAAACATGGGAAAAGCAGGTGACATCATCTAAATCATAGCATTGAATGCCTGTGTGGGGTGTATATGCCAGGAGGTAACCACCTAAGAAAAGACAAAGTAACATAAATTATGTCATTGTTTCAATGACTCACTGTAAGTGAGTATTTGTTCATTTACCACCTCCATAAACAAGATATATTAATGTCTAATTTTTATTTCCGCTTTAAACTTTTCAAACCTACAGTTTGTTTTCTCTTTCAGAGAGCTCTTAAAATTCACTTGTGAGCACATCACCCACCCCTCTCAGCCCCTATTCCTACTCTCCCATAGCTAGGATCCCATTTCAACTCCCCAACATTTCTATAATCACATTAAATCAGCAATTTTCTTTTTCAAAAACAACAACAACCATTTTATTTTGCATAATACATAGAATATCATTCAGCAAAAGAATACATTAAACTTAA